TATATACTATATAACTGAACGTAAAAAAAATGTACCGCTATAGCATTTAGCAGAAAAATTGAAACACCGCATATTGAAATATCATTAGGCAAACCAAATAGTAGAAAAAATCAAAATTGTAAGAGGTCTAGGTGAATTCCTAGACTCAAAACTAACTTCTATAGAACAATATATATAACCTGGTTAAATTGTCATATTTAATTATCTTAAAGATAAATCGTTCAGCTCGAACCTTTGTAGGGTTAAGAGGTGGGACCATCATCATCATCAAACAGAATGCTAGGCTTTATTAAAAGGTTCAGTCAAGTCTGGAATACAACCACCTACATTTCCATACACGAAGAACGCATAGAATCTGTCCAAAAACAATTCCTTTTATATGCTTTACGTAAATTGAATTGGACTGCATTTCCATTACCATCTTATGAAGCGCGCTGCATGCAAAAAATACAAAAACACTTAAGGAGCACCGCCAATTTGCAATGCTTTTCTTCATCAACAACATTAATTCAATGCGCATAGATTTGGAAGAAATTCTCGCACAATTAAACTTTTACACACCATGTCGATATCTTAGAACACGCAATTTATTTTCTGAAATATCGTACAGAGCAAACTATGCAAAAATAGCCCAATCAATGGAATGATGCATTGCGGAACTATAGACATCACTTTGTTCAAGCAGCAAATAAAAACTAAGCTAAAACAGAATTTAATTAATGCATAGTATGTAAGCAAACATTGTAATAATCATTGTATATAGTATACACTGAAATAAAAAAAAAATAAAAAAAATGAAATAAAAAAATGAAATAAATAAATGCACTCAGAACAAATAAAAAAACATCATAAGTAATAAGAATACAACATTAAATTTGTGATGGCTACATTGGAAATACATTTCATAAGTGATGGTTTGAGTGCTCTTTCAATCAGGTGATAAACAAGAAAATTTAATTTTAATATGTTGGTAAAATATGTAACACATACAATATAAAAACTATATTCCATATCAACGGAAATGCCCTTAGCTGCAATATGGAACCAATGTTTCCAATTCGGAAAAGACGCAGAGAGTAAATTTAATCATTGTATTCTACTATCACAGATACCCCGTTTTACGGTATGTCTTTTAGTGAAATGCTTGCAACTTTTGTCGGCCGTTGCGAATTAATTGCATTTTCAATACATCTGATCTCTTCATTGGTTACTTTAGATGATTCCTTGTTAAATCTAATGCGGATTGGGCAAGAGTAGTGAGGTGAAAATGGAGTTGAATTTTGCCAAACTATGTTTGCATTGGATCCACAAACTATTCTCAACCGTACAAATAAACTTTGGAACACACTCGTATCAGAATCCATACAGGCAAGTTTGAACTGATTCCACAACGCGGTCAGTTTAGAAAAAGAATTAACGAGTACAGGGCATTGTTCCCCTACCTCTGAAGTATACAATGCATGCATTCAGAATCTGTTTTGTTTTGGGAAATAAACTTTTCGCCAGCTAGCGTAGAACAAATACCCCTCCGTGCGTCTTCTTGTATGGCGGCCAAAGATGGATGCTCTGTGAATGGCATAACCAACAGTGAATTCATACGCCAATCGGTTACTGCCCGAGGAATGAAACTGTCAACAAGCAACACATCGATTATGTTAGTCTTACTCTAGACGAATGGACCAGCATAAGCAATAAGCAGTACATCAACATGGATACACATTTTTAAGGACGGTGTGATGATTAAACCGTCTTTTGATTTCAAAATGGCGTTGGATATCGATTTTCATTCTCATCCCGATTCCAAATATACCCATATTGATGGATATTTGACAGTATATCCCAAATTTTCTTAAACTGGAAGTCAACATCTTGGATTTCAAAATGGCATCGCATATCTATTTCCAATCTCTAGTCACCCCGATGCCAAACATTATTGATGAGTATTTGACAGTATTTCCCACATTTTCTGAAATCGGAAGCTGCCATCTTGGATTTAAAAATGGCGTCGAATGTGGATTTTTATTCTCTAGACGTTATCCCGATTTGAAATACACCTATATTGATTGGTATTTGAGAGCATTTCCCAGTTTTATTAAACCAGAAGCCGCCATCTTGGATTTCAAAATTGCATCGAATTTCGATTTTTATTCTCATGAAACCAAAAATACCTATATTGTTGGGAATTTGACTTCATTCCCACATTTTATTGAACCGGAAGCAACCATCATGGATTTCAAAATGGAATTGGTCGTCACCCCCTCTACACGTCGTCTCCTTTCCGGAAATACTCAAACTGTAGGGTATTTGCAAGGGGTTAAGTCACTCAGCACATTGTGTTGCAATTAGATTCGGCACAGCTTGGGCACATCCATCGGCACACCTTCAGCATACCTTCGGCACAATATCGTAGGCATTGGATTGTTGTAAATAAAATGGGAACACTGCTGGACAACTTTCATTGAAGTTGGTCACAACATGACATCCTATTTGACTGTATGTTCAGGAACATCCTCCAATTGAATATCCGGAGGGACTCAGACCAGAAGTTCACTTATAGATTTAAATACGAAATGTAGGTTCTAGAGTGAGCTCAAGAGGAAGAGGCAGTAATCAGACCCCATTGGTACCCTTAATTCTGCAACTCACACAAAACAAACTACAGAAGTCAATTCATCATCCTCTATAGTCGGTCTCCAGCAATGTTCCCCACCGATTCTGGCCGCTGATAGACTGTTGCTTTTCACATCACGAAAGGCTAGATTTCTGTTCTGCATTGAGGGCATTATAAAACCCTAAAGCACAGAACTTTTATTCTCCAATAAACACAAAACACCAACATTTCGCACACCCGCCACTTCCCGCGTCATCCTCAATCCGATCTATCCTTGCGATTTCAAACCAAAACATTCAAGGTGTCAGAAATACCGGGTTGCCGGGATGGGTATTTTACAAAAAATCACAGCTTGCTCAATTACCGGCACAATCGGCACACCTTGCGACACACTGACAAAAAAGATTACCCAAGATTGGTGTGCGGAGTGGCCTACCCCTTGGGTATTTGACATTTTTTCTTGAACGGATGATCGCCATCTTGGATTCCAAAATTCAGTCTGGCATCGAATCCCATATTGTAGGGTGATGTCTCGCATTGATTTCCGGCCTTTAAACGTCGTCCCCTTTCCGAAAATACCCATATTTGAGGGCATTTTACAGTTTTTCTTGAACCGATGGTCACCATCTTTGATTCCAAAATGGCGTTTGGCATCGATTTACGGCATCTACACGGAATCTCCTATCCAAAAATACGCATATTGTTTGGAATTTAACAGTTTTTCATGAACCGAAGACCGCCATCGTGGATTTTAAAATGGCGTCTGAAATCGGTTTCCGGCCTCTAGACGTCACCACGATTACAAAAATATCCGGCCTCGACACGTCGTCCCTTTTCCGGAAATACTCAAATTGTAGGCTATTTGACAGTTTTTCTTGAATCGATGGCCGCTATCGTGGATTTTAAAATGGCGTCTGAAATCGAATTCCGGCCTCTAAATAATAATGACCACTGAAATAATATGACCACCATCCAAAAGGACATGATCGCCTGAACAACTTTGCTGAAGACATGAAGACAGTAACCTTCTACATGGCCAGGATTTTGAGATACAGTTTAAACAGGAAGCCCATGTGCACACTACCGCTGCGCAGTGAAAAAGTACTGAACTAGTATGGCCACCATCCAAAAGAACTTGATAACCTGAACAACTTTGCTGAAGATAGCAACTTTCTGTATGGCCAGGATCACGAAATATTCTATGTTGGACACAAGTTCCATATATTTTAGCGCCCGTCATAAGTAACATAAAATTGAAACGCATCTAGAAGCGTAGTTCGTAATTAACCTGAATCCGATGACACTGGCTTGTAGGACAATGGAGCATTTTGTCAAGCTTCTGCATTCATGTTCCAGCAGGTGTCACAGCTGTTGTTTGCGGAGACATCTATCGGAAACTACTCACAATCTGTTTTCCTTTAATTGTTCACAGAGGACACTGCAGTGCTAAACATGTATGGTACCTCTATATATACATTTAGATTATTATTCGAAGTCCCTCCTTTTTTACACATTCTGCACACAAAATAGCCCACCCCTCACAGAATTTCCTGCCGAATTTTATGTATGGGGCGGGGCATAAAGTATCTTTTGCGCAGAATTTGTAAAAAAGGAGGGGCTTCAAATGTTAAAGCAAATGCATATATAGAAGTACCAGACATGTCAGGTACTCTATTTTGTAATCTGTGCAAGGGAAATCACAAATCGAGTGTCAACAAAATACATGGCATGTTGAGAGATTCAGGTCGTGAGAGAGAATTTTCTCTCTCAAATTTGAAATTTTTGGCTCTCTACCCAAGCAACACACTTCCATCATAATAAGTTACTGCAACTCGATTGTGACTGAAATAAGTTACACACAACAAACGAGAACCGTTCAGTGACAAGTGTGCTGCTAGGGTAGGAACTGGGTAAAGCAGGCAAAACTGAATGGGAAAAATCATTTTTATTCAATTGTAGCTTGTTTAACAATAATTTTCGGGAAAAAACTGAACGACAAAGTCCCTGATTAATTTCTTTAGGTTGTCGTTCACTTTGTTTGACCTGAATATGCACCGAAAGCGAATTATTCCCACTTCTCTGAGTTTCTATATGGGGATTTTTATCACTTCCTACCAGCGGAACAGCGCCATCTCTGTGGAAAATGGTCGAACAAAATGATTAATTGTCTACGCAGGGGGAGGAGGGACCAAGAATTCCAAAAAAAAACTGTCTACGTAGTTAATGAAGAGCCCCTAAGCTGTGGGTATTCATATTCGCGGTTCCTTATTCACGCCTCCGTTACCCCGGCAATAATGATTCCTGACTGTATACATATCAGTAAATCTTTGGATTTCAAAACCATCTACAACTAACACTAAAGCATTCAATCACTCTTATTCCTTCGCAGGTCCTCACCTTCATGATCGATTCCTCCCGCTTCCGCTACCCGGAACGGCCCATTGTGTTCCTAGCCATCTGCTACCTCATCGTCGGTTGCGCCTATGTTGCCGGTCTTGGTGCCGGTGATTCCGTAGCCTGCCGCGAACCGTTCCAACCGCACATCAAACTCGGCCGGATGCACATGCTATCCACCATTACCCAGGTAAGTGTCGAAGCTAATAGTTGACATCTTTAGCATCCCACGCGGCTAAATGAAACCCGCTTAATATTTTCCCACCGCTCCGTTCGCAGGGTCACCGCCAGTCGACATCCTGCACGGTCCTATTTATGGCGCTGTACTTTTGCTGCATGGCCGCATTCGCCTGGTGGGCTTGCCTGGCCCTGGCTTGGTTCCTAGCGGCAGGTCTCAAGTGGGGTCACGAAGCAATCGAAAACCGATCCCATCTGTTCCATCTGGTTGCGTGGGCGACTCCAGCGATCCAGACCATTTTCGTGCTTGCGCTCGGGAAAGTTGAAGGTAAGTTCATCATTAGGACACACGGAGCAGAGGTTATTTCTATCTCTCGTGCAGGAGGGACATAAATCTATTGGTTTTCTTTTCTTTTTTTGTTTTGGTATTGGGTTGCCGAAGAAGCATTAGTCGATGTGAGCGCATCATGTGGCGATAGAAACAATGTTTCGCATGCAGTTGTGTATTGGCATCTTGCGTCGGATGGAGGGAGAAAGGGGGAAAGCCTTCGGAGCGAATAATTGCTCTGGATAAAGGAACACTTTGTAGCAGTTTTGTTATGTATGGGAGTGCCGCACGGTATGCGTGACGATGGCGGCTAAATGGGGATTAGCTATGGCTCGTTTAGCTGATGGATGAAAGCTGATTGGTTGGTTTTTTACGATGTGACTTCTAGATAAGGGATTTGAGTGATGGGAAAAAGTTGATCTTTGACTAGTACCGCCCTACTGGATCTTGGCACCTTTTTTTGTAGTAAAATTATGTTTTGTTTTTCTGTTGATTATGATAGTACATTGATCAAACATTTTAATTGATTAGCCTTAATTAGCTCTTAATCTTTGTTTCATTTGATATTCGAATTTAATATTTGCGTATTCGATTAGTTATACCCCTTGGGGAGAGGGGGAGGGGTGTTTTGATTGAATTTAAAAATTTGATAAGCTACCTACTTAATCTAAAGCTTAACCTAACGTGTCAGATTCCTAATGATTAGCTGATCGGATTATCTACAGCAATCTCTAAACCTTTGGACGATAGCTGTTCTCCGTAACTCCAGTACCTGAAGACCAGCCAGGCGATGGACCTCAGAGTTCCTCATTCATGGAGGACTGTTGAGGATCATTCTCAAAAACTTGTTTTGGATCCTTTGTAATTTGAGGTGATGGGAATTTGTGCTACTCTACCAGATTGGCACCCCGTATTCTAATACAGGAAAGATTATTTGCATATAGACAGCAAACTTGTTTTTCAGGGACAGAGGGGATCGCCTGTTGCTGAGTGTATATAAGGATCTCATCAGGATGCTACATTTGGTTTTTGTTTTGTTAATGTATCCCCTGAAAAGCAGCTTGCTGTCGAGTGTAAGGCCGAGGTACACTACCTCTTTTGACTATTTCACCAAGTTGATGTTCCCAAGCAACACACATGTTCTATAACAGTTTATATAACCTTTATATGACTAGTTTTGGATGTATAGAAGTTTACTCAACATAATTCATTCAATATGTGTTACTTGGGTTATTATTCTCAGACGGAACCAGTCTTGGTGATTTGTAATGAGAAAAGATGATGACCTGGGTCTTTGCCGCGTTGATACGGATCTTCCAGCTGTTGAAGTATTCTGACAGGACATTTAGGCCTCTATGGAGTTTGGCGGTCGGATAGGGTTATCCTTAAAGATGATGCATGTGTCATCTGCGAACAGAGACAGCGATCCACCTTCAGGGAGAGCCGGCATTTCGGAGGTGAACATGTTGAATAAGATGGGGCTAAGGATGCTTTCCTGTGGGACACCCGCACCAATGTGGAAAGCATCCGATGTGATGCCATTGAGAGACTCTGACTGTCCTGTCCGAAATTAATTTTTAATTAGCTTCACTAGGCAAGAAGAAGACCATATTGCTGCAATTTGTAGACCAGGCCAAATGCCAAACATTGTCGAACTCTTTTTCAACGTCCAAATATGCCATGGCAGATGTTTTAGATACAGACTAGTTCCGTCTGAGAATGTTTGTTACTCGAGTGAGCTGGTGAACAGTCGAGCGACCTTTACAGAAGCCAAACTGCTCCTCGAGCAATATGTTGTTTTCCTCGGCAGATGCTAGAAGTCAATGATAGACTGCTCTTTTGAACAGCTTGGATAACCCCGAGAGAAGGCTGATGGGTCGGTAACTTGAACGAGAGGATGGATCTTTCCCAGGTTTCCGGATGGGGATGACTTTAGCTGACTTCCAGTACGAGGGGAAAGAACCAAGTATTAAAGAATCAGTGCCAGATGGTTAAAGAATCTGGAACTCAGATTTTTGAGTTCCTGATGCAGGATTTGGTCTGATCCTAGGGTCTTTATATTTTTAGATGATTTTTTATAGGTCAACAGTTCGTCAGCCGTAATCTCGGATTCCACAGGAAAGTTGTTAGGAATTCGATGGAGGTTGGTTGCATTTACCGCAACTGCAATATCGTATGGACTAGGCATGTTCAGTCCGAGATTATGCGAGCTGACGCAATGTTGACCTATAGCATCAGCCTTCTTCTTCAGAGGTTATCAGATGAGCAACTGAATCATTGGGTTGATTCAACGGCATCAGTGGGGGAATAGGTCTTGGCTTATTTTTAAGGATTTGGGTTAGTTTCCAGAAGGGCTTGGCACAATCTGGGAGAGAACTCATTTTGTTACCGAAGTCCTAATTTTTAGGTCCATCATCCTGGCTTGGATTATTTTTGTTAGACGGTTGCAATGGGTCTTCAAGGCAGGCAGTCCAGTACGTTGGTACTGCCTACGCATGGTGTTACGGAGTCTGATAAAGTGTTCAGTGGAACTATCAAGGGTCAGAGTATTGCTAACCTGCCTGGAAACTAGCACGTGTTGTTCCCTGGCTCGGGATATCACCTCCTGCAAGGAACACCGGCATCGGTCAACGTCCTCGGGGGCGTCCGGATGCACTTCGTAGTCGACGGCGGTGTCGACACAGTGCTGGAACCGATCCCATTCAACACGATGGTAGTTTCGCCGGGATGCTTGAAATCTGTTAGCCGAGAAGCCTACTACGGCCACCACCGGGGAGTGGTCCGAGCTCAGCCCCTGGAATGCCACAGGTTGCGAGATGCTGTGTCCGGGAGTGGGAGTGTCCTGGGTCAAGATGGTATAGTGGCCCTCTTGCAGGTCTTCATTCAGGATAGTGCCGTTTCGATTGCTCCGACCGTTGCCCCAAGCTTGGTGTTTTGCGTTTAGGTCGCCAGCGATGATGAAGTTCCCGCTCTTCCGGGTGAATTTGATGATGTCTTTCCGGACGGCCACAGACGACCCGCCCCTGATGTTGGTTTGCTTGGGGCAGTAGGCCGTGATGATAGTGATTGGGCCACCTCCACTCCGATGGCTTAAATTGTTTTCAGCGATGGCCTCTCCCCCCGGTGCAGGTGCGGTCAAGTCTGACGAGCGGGAAGTCGGAAAACGTTCAGTTCGGGCTTCAAGTGCGTGTCAGTGATAGTAGCAATGTCGACCTCCTTGGTGATGAGGAAATCGAGAAGCTCTTTATGCTTGTTCGTCAGCGAGCAAGCGTTCCGATGTGCAATTATTAAAGCTTCACGGTCCATACCTGGTGACGGGTGAAAAGGCAGCATGGAGCTGTTCAGATCGAGTCTTGCAGGTTCGCAGGATGACGATCACCCTTGGGCCAGTCCCGAGTAGTGACACGGTGCGTACCGCCGCAATTCACGCACTTTGGCTCGGTGTCATCAGCTTGGACGCAGGTCGCCGTTTGAGTGGCCCATAGAACACTTGTATCAGCGTGGTTTCATATGACAGTTTTTCGTGCCATGGCCGAAGGAGAGGCAGCTTGTGCATTGGGTCACATCACGGTGTTGCGGTTTGTAGAATTCCCAGTCGATAATGACCTGAAACAGGTCACGTATGTTGCTCTTCAGCGCAGCAAGGGTGGTGAAGCCCTTCATGAAGTGGACCAGAAACAGTTGGTCACGATAGTTGGTATTGGGCATAGGTCGTCGATTCATTAGGTGGACTGCCTCTGGGTTTAATCCAAGCCTCACCAGTTCATCTTTTTCGGCAGCCCCGCTTCATACTACGGAACAACCTTCAATGGTTTCATCGAAGGCAAATCGTGGGTGTAAAACTCCACTCAGCAGGTCACCGCCCGACTTGTACTGCTGTAGGCTGGAGCACATGATCTTTGTTCCAACGCTACAGATCTTGAATCGCGGGAACAATTAGCGTTTTGCCAGCTCATCCCTAAGCTGGGTGACGTCCTTTTCGAGGTAAACAGGGGGGGGGGGGGGGAGGGGGGTGGAAGCCGCTTGAATACAAACACAGTTGCTAATGAAGAGCTTTACACGACGGCTTTATGAGTAGACTTGGGGAGTGAACCGATGCTGCACAGGACAGTTTCGTTCACAGATCGTTTAAATGTGTGATTTTGATGTAGGACTACGTCTGTGATTTCTATATGGGGGTACACTTTGTGAAAGCTGATAATGGAACATATAACAAAATTATGAAAGATTTAGAGCATTAATAACTCAGCTGCCCCTGGACCAATTTCAATGATTTTATCACCAATCCATCAGAAATATAGCTACGCATCAATAACAATGCTTTCGGCGAAGATGATTTTCAACAAGAAACTATTGAAAAAGTAGTAATGTGGTAATGTGGTCACTGTTTTTATGAAATAATCGTTCTTCCCAAACCCAGTCGTCATAATCGAGAATCACTTGGTTGCACATTATTCTGCATTAAACTGAAAAGATATAAAAGAGCGCTGCTGTCTAGTCTCAACTCATTTTCAGGGCCAACAAGCTTATCACAGTAAAGAGTTGGAACAGAATTTATCTGTAACTTTTTGCCCATATTCATAACCACACGCCCCCAACGACCACACGAAATGCTCTCCAGAGTTGTAATCTTGTAACTAAACTTGGAAGCAGGGGTGCAAGTGAATTTGAACGATTCTCGTCATCTTTCGTTAATAACTCGTTAGTTGCCCTTTGCTTCGAAGGATTGACATTGGCAAACTACGCAAAGTGAGAGTGTCACTACTTGATAGCTAACTACTCATGATGGGAGGAGTATGTGTAGCTTACCGGCGTGTGCAAAAATAAAGGCAATTAAAATTTCATTTTGTGACTGTTTCCCAAACACAGGCATCATATTGAAACACCATCGTGATTATGCATTATAGCCAGAGTTAATGTACACGTGCATCCATCCCGCGTGATAGAGACACGCTTTCTATAAGATCGTAGGTGCCTGGTACATTTCGAGACGTATTATT